CCGGATCTAGATTTTGGATCATTTTTTTTTTATTTTTTTATTTCTTTTGTTGATTCCCATACTTTATTAAATTCTGATTTTTATTTATTGTCTTGTTTAAATTCGAAACATTTAATTTCAACAATAATAGATTTTATTTTCATAATTTCTGCCATTTCCGATTGCATTCTCTTGTCTAGATCTAAGTACATATTAATTTTTCCCTCGCTTCCCTGTGGATACGACCCGTTCTCATCCCTTCACTGCATTAGCAGTGTTCCGGGGTGTTTAACGATGCGCTTCCGGACACACCAAGTTTTTGGGGCTGTTAACGGGGAAAGCACGAAGAAAAAATTTTATTTACTTTTTTTGGATCTGTTTCATTATGTTTTTTTTTCGTTTTATTACTTTATCCGTTATCTCAGTTTAGTTTTTGTTTCTCTTTGATTCTGCAGGACGGAATAGCGAAAGGTGGGGTACTGGAGCATTGCGGGACCGTGGGACGGAAGAGAAGAGAAGAGAAATTGGATTGTGTTTCAGGTGTAGTCGTTCCATTTTATTTTTAATTTTCTTATTTTTATTTCCAAACTCTTTTTTTGTTAGAATAGTTATTTTTGAAGTTTTAATTAATTATTTTTCTAGATTTGATTTATTTTTTTTAGTATTATTTTTCTTCCATTTTGTTTCTAGATCTATTCTTCTTTCTTTATTTTAATTTCTTGTTCGATTTTTTTTGCTTTATTAGGTTTGTGTTTTTCTTTTATTTCAGATTTAAAAAAAAACAAATTTTTTTCGTTTATTTTATTTTATTTTATTTCTTGCAACATAATTTTCTTTTGTTTATTTTATTATATTTTCAGTTTAAATTTTAGATTCGTTTTTTTCTTTTAATTCAGATAAAAAACAATAAAAAAAAGAAATACAAAAATTTTTCGTTTATTTTATTTTATTTATTTTTGCAGCATATTTTTCTTTTGTTTATTTTATTTGTATTTTTTTCTTTTTTTATCTATTTCTTGCATAATTTTCTTTTTGATCATTTTATTTTCAGTTTAATTTTTAGATTAGCAATTAGTTTGTTAGGATTTATTTTTGGTAGTTGTTAATTCTGTTTAGCACAATTAATTGTTGTTTTATTTTCTGTTTGCAATTATTACTTGTTGCTTCATTTAATTTCTTTTCTTTTAGTTGTTTAATTGAATAATTAATTGCTAAATAGGAAATTGTTGAAATTTTCGAATTTGAGTTTAAATTTCAAATCTGAGTTTAAATTTAAATTTTAATTTGAATCTGAATCTGAATTTGAAATTCAAATTTCGAAATTTAAATTTTTAATTTTCGAATTAAAAAAAAATTAAAAAATAAAAAATAATAAAAAATAATTAATATTTTAAAAGTTTTAAATTTGCATTCCAACATCTAGGATTTGATATGTTTTAGAGCATGCATCATATAGGAGAAGGGGTTGGTCAATTCACCCAGTTAACAAGGCTAAGGTTTTTTGAGGAGTTCAAGGGTTGTAGAAGGGGAGGACGCCCAGATCTTGTCAGGAGGGGTTCTTGCAAGCTGTTCAACATCTGCAACTACCACCACTGGATCTGATCAACCACTCTTATTTTCTTCATTTTTTTCTGTTATTTTTATTTTTGCATTTTTTGGGATTTAATTCTTGTTCATTTCTCTGTTTTGCATATCTGAATTCATTCGGTTCAAGGCTAAGGTGTCTTGAGGGGTTCGAGAGTTGTATAAAGGATAGGCGCCCGGTTCTTGTCAAGAGGGGTTTTTGCAAGCTGTCTGGCCGATCTGCAGCAACCGCCACCGGATCTAGATTCTGGATCATTTTTTTTTATTTTTTTATTTCTTTTGTTGATTCCCATACTTTATTAAATTCTGATTTTTATTTATTGTCTTGCTTAAATTCGAAACATTTAATTTCAGCAATAATAGATTTTATTTTCGTATTTTCTGCCATTTCTGATTGCATTCTCTTGTCTGCATCTAAGTACATATTAATTTTTCCCTTGCTTCCCTGTGGATACGACCCGTTCTCATCCCTTTACTGCATTAGTAGTTGTTTGAGAAACGATAAAATTATAAATGTTTAAATTGGTGTTCCAGGGTGTTAACGACGCGCTTTCGGACATAACAATTATCACTTTGAGCCAACTCGAAATTCTTTTCAAACACAATTAAATCTTAGTTTTTATTTTATAATAAACTATTTGGTCGATCTATTAGAACTATTTGCACTTTTTTTGAGTTTATATTTTGTTTGAACTCACTCTATCATGTTGTTTTGATGACTTGGATCAAGATAAGAAGTTAAAAGGGTCTACCTATGCATCTTTTATCGCTACATAAAATAGCATTCTATATTTTTGCCTATTTCATGATGTTTTCACCATGTTTATAATTTTTACAATACATCCATACGATGTTTCCAACATTTCCAATATATTTTCCATATTCTTTTGCTCTAGATTTTAAATGCCTCTTTCTGCATACGTTCTTCATGTAGGAACAAGCATAAATAGACATATTTCCTATATTTGAATGACTGGTATTTCCACCGACACCGACAAGTTCTTCATTTGATCAGATGGAGACTAATGTTAGGAAAATAAAGGCCATATGGAAGGGCTTTAGTTTTTCTGTGTTAAAGGTTTCCTAAATAGGTTAATTGTGCAAGATCCCTATACAATCCAACATATTTCCGCCATATAGTATAATGTGTCTGATCCAAACTGTTAATCAGATAGGAGACCCTTTGGATAAACCATGTGTTTATCAGATAGGATTATATAAACAATGCTTCCATAGATAAAGAAAAGGAAAACTTATCTATATTTTTTTATCTAAATAATCAGATAAGGTAATAGAATATATTAAATAGGTTAGGATTTTAGTATATAGATCACTGACACATTTTTCATACAGAAATTAACAAATTAATTGCATGGTGGCATTTTAAAAATAAGAGTGCAACTTCAGCGAACTCAGCTTTGACTTGTCAAAATTTGAATGGGTCCAGCCCAAAGGCCCAACCCGAGTTACACCCCTACTTAAAAACAGTTGATTACTTTCTTTTTCCTGACTCATGGTAACTAATGAATGCTAAGAGGAACATATGCCCCAAATTAATTGAGTCAATTATAAAAAGAATCATCATAAAATATCCCATTTTTTCATTTATGTGAATGGAAACTCACAATAATTATGTGTTACTATGTTGTACCATTGACGATTTTGTGGCAGCAGAAGGCATAGCATACAACCTTATCATGATAAAATACAGGCAAGCTAAAAACATACTAGAATGTAGCAGGGAGGTGCCGATACCTACATTCTTGATGGTAGAAAGCCAATACTGAAAAGGATGGCTATGCCTACTAGAAGAAGCTTGGCGGTGGATGAGATAAAAGTTCTTCCAGAAAGGATATACCAGTGAAATAATAGAGATGAAGCAAGAAAACAAGAAAATGTTTTCTTCTCATCTCTCCATAAAAGAATGTCAGCAACTGCAAAAAGGATAATATTAACATCATGCTCTAAAAGGAAAACAGAGAATTGCCACCATCAAATGTACTAAGAATGTGAAGCCTACCTCTTCCACTGCCGAGCATTATATTTGCTTTAGATGGTTCAGTAGAGTTTTGGAATCTCATGGAAGGTGAAGCTTCTTCTAAATGAGAGAATGATTCAATGGTTAATGTAACACCTTCCTGTATATCCAGTAATTAACCATCAGAGGCACAGGTAAAACTTCAGCATAGGTTTGACATGCTTTTACTAGTTTTGCTATTAAATATTGACAAGGACAGCCACTCAAAAGATCTCAAAGTAAGAAGATATTGTGTCCCAGAAGTAGCCAATTTCATGTTGTTAACTATCCAACCATATCTTCTTTTATGTGGTCATAAAAGAGAACTAAATAAATTCCGTAAACAAGGAAATGCATAGATGACAACTGTTTGATCAATTTATGGCAGATAAAGGGAGACGACAGTTCACCTTGATGTGAGCATTCCTCACTTACCAGCAGGTGAAAATAATTATGAAACTAGGTTTGCATACGTGATGATAACTTTAATTGCAAATGTGCAAGTCATCAAAGAATTTTGATATAGCAAAAAAGAAAAAAATATTAATCCCTGATGAATTCAAAGGAATTTACAAGATTGATTTGACAGAAGAACAAAAGGATTCTCCACTTAAAATTTCAAAATACACATGAATAATTATAATAATTCATGAAAATAAAATGTCTTGTAAATTCCTATGAACCCATATTACTGACAGAAGAACAAAAGGATTCTTGTACATCAATCATTCAATCTTCAGCTCCCATATTACTGAAGAATGCACAGATGAGGTGAGAGAACAATCCCAAATAGGAGAACAAAAATAATAACGAAAGAACCCATTATCAGCAAGGAAATGCCTATGACATAAATAGTAAGACTTACTTCTAATGATATAATTGGTGAGTATCCAATATGGTTTTGAGCTACAGAACAGTTGAATGTCTTTGTGTGTGAGAGCAGGTGAACATTCACAGGAGTCAGTAAGGAAAGGACATCTCCTTCATACCCCAACTTCTTGTGCACCCATCTGACAAGAACAAAAAAGAAGGAAACCATCCTAGCAGGAAGTTGGACTGTTGGCCTGCCATGGAAAACAAATAGCAGCACGATTTCAGGGAGTCCATATATAAGATGCAATCTAAATAACAATATGATAATAAATGTGTCTAGGATTCAGAATGCGGAAGCAGAACAGGTTTGGGGCTCAATCCTCAGAGTACCAATGAAGTCAGCCAGCACCTTCAAGAAAATGGCACAAGTCTATGACTTCAAAGATAACATAAGAACAGCAGATGGGATGGAGATAAGAAAAAACAATAAGGAAAAAAGAAAGGACCTCACCCACCTACTGAAAAACCATCACAAAAATCTCTACAAATAACCCACTCAGAATTCTTCCCCAAGAAGACCCCAAGACTATGAAGCCAATAGTTAACAATATAAAACTAGGGAAAGGGGGAATTTAACTTGGGTGGGTTTTTTTTTCACAGCTTTATACTTCATTTTTGGCTATATACTCTGACTTAGAAAACTAAATAAAAGAAAATTACATAGAAATATTAATATATGCATAATGTACATCATGTCCATGACTTGTGTGCATCAGTATGAGCTGAATACTATACATAATGTAAACAAGTTACATAAAATTATAAATAGAGGCTTGACTGATTGGGAGAATGGATCTCTCAAATGTGATTGCTGTCTGCCTTATCCCAACTATATGGTGTTGGCTACATGAATCCTGTTTCACCAATCCATCCTATTTAAAACCATATCTACTGCTAAATTATTAGTGCTTAAATCATTTCTTACTACTTCTACCATGTCCTTTGTGGTCTACCCCTAGCTCTTCTAGCCCCTTCCACTTGTAACAAATTACTTCTTTTTCCTTACTATGTATAAAATATGATCTTGTACATTGCATTGGAAAAGGAATACTAATATTATCAAGACCATCCATTCATCCTCTTTTCTTTTTCTTTTTGATGAATGAAGATAATTTATTAGTTTAGAAAAAGGCAATACAGGAAACCCAAGAAGAGGCATGAGCTGTTACCTTCCACTTGTAACAAATTACTTCTTTTTCCTTRCTATGTATAAAATATGATCTTGTACATTGCATTGGAAAAGGAATACTAATATTATCAAGACCATCCATTCATCCTCTTTTCTTTTTCTTTTTGATGAATGAAGATAATTTATTAGTTTAGAAAAAGGCAATACAGGAAACCCAAGAAGAGGCATGAGCTGTTACCTTCCACTTGTAACAAATTACTTCTTTTTCCTTRCTATGTATAAAATATGATCTTGTACATTGCATTGGAAAAGGAATACTAATATTATCAAGACCATCCATTCATCCTCTTTTCTTTTTCTTTTTGATGAATGAAGATAATTTATTAGTTTAGAAAAAGGCAATACAGGAAACCCAAGAAGAGGCATGAGCTGTTACCTCTTCAAAAAAAAAAAAAAATATTACATCAAATTAAAACAGAAATACCCAGAAGTAAAATTACAGAGCAGCCCAAAATAAATTTTCCCTTGTGGCCCCCTGCTTAGCTAACTCATCCGCTAAAGTATTTGCTGATCTTCCCACCCAAAGAGAGGTAATAGTCGTGTTTCTTGTAAGCCAGTTGACTTCCCTCAATAAGTCTGTGTCGCCACATGACTGAAGCTGGGTCTGTCAGCCATCCCACAACAATCTGAGAGTCTCTTTCCACTACCAGGTGCTGAACTCCTAATTGTTCTGCAATCTGAATACCTTGTACCGCCGCTAAAATCTCAGATCTATTAGAGTGTCCTATTCCCACGCGGCCTGAAAACAAGGCTAAGATGTTGCTCTCCGTATCTCTCAGCACCCCTCCTATCCCTGATGGGCCTAGGTTTCCTTGGCTGCTGCCATCAAAGTTCAGCTTTACCCATCCTTCGGGCGGGGGGATCCAAACCGCAGATTCCCTGTCCTTCCTTGTATGGCTGTTAGCCACCGCTCTCCAATTTCTCCAAATATTATCAGTCCATAATTCTCAACCAATGAATGGTCCTAGTCAAGATACAATCCTCAACAGCCTTGTTAGAGTTGACAGTACAGGGGTATTTTGTATGGCTGAATGCTTCTTTCCTTTTCTTTGAATATCCTTGCACTCCTCTCTTCCCAGATTGTCCACAATGCAGCTGCTCTAATACATCTCCACATCAATTTTCCTTTTTTTGTAGGCCATACAAAAAAGGAAGGATCAAACAGCTGACTTAAGTCTGTGGATAGATTCCACCTGCACCCAAACAAAGAAAAAATCCAAATCCAAATAGCACTAGAAAAGGAACAAGATACAAGTAAGTGGGAACAATCCTCACCACTAGCCCTACAAAGTGCACACCAGTTAGGGGACAAACACATGAAAGGCCTTTTCTTCTGCAAGCAATCCAAAGCATTAATCTTTCTATAAAACACCTCCCAACAGAAAATAACAAATTTAGGTGGAACAGGTCTAGACCAAATCTCCTTGGTTGGAAAACCCCACTGCCTCAGGGAAGAGCATAGAGACTTAAAGAAGGAAGCACAAGAAAAGTGACCTTTTGGATGAGGGGACCATAATCTCACATCCACAGTAAGAGGGTCCAAAAAGACACTGCCAAGAAGAGACAACAGATCTGAAACACTGTCAAGTTCATCATCCCTCAAACCTCTCTGAAAGCCAAAGTCCCAACTTAAGGACGAGGGTGAATTAGGAGATGGGAGAAAATGAGAGATAGCTTTTTCCTTGTAAAGGGAAATAGAATAAAGAGACGGGAATTGGTCCTTAAGAGCAATAGTACCCATCCAAGTGTCTTCCCAAAATAAAACAAAGTTACCGGAATTGAAATCATACCTGACAAAGTTGAGAAATTGAGGGAGGATACTCGGATTGCTTTCCAAGGAGATGCTGACGTTGCTTGATGTAATACACACACATCCCATCCATTTTCCAGTTTGCCATGTATACTAGCTATCACTTCATGCCACAACCTCTCCCTTTCTCTAGGCCACCTCCACAACCATTTTCCTAATAGGGCTTTATTCTTGAGAGTTAACCTTCCTAACCCCAGTCCACCTTCCTCTTTGCTCCTACAAACTATTTCCCAATTGATTAGATGATCTTTCTTTTCCTCCCCTGGCTYCCAAAGAAAAGTTCTCATTAATCTCTCCAGTTTCTTAACCTCCCTATTGGCAATCCTAAAAATGGACACAAAATAGACCGGTAGGTTTGCTAAGGGTGGCTCTCAATAAAGTCACTCTACCCCCTATAGAGATATAGTTCATTTTCCAAGAAGCTAATCTTTTCTCAAACTTTTCCAAAACTGGGGTCCAAAAACTACTCTCTTTTGGGTTAGCCCCTAGAGGGAGACCTAGGTACTGCAAGGGCCAAGAAGAAACGGGACAACCTAGAGAATTTTCCACAGACTGAAGAATCCCCTCATTCATATTGACACCTACCACACAACTCTTATCCAAGTTTATCTTCAAATTGGAGACCTTCTCAAAGTGTTGTACCAAAGCTCTAAGGTTCCTCACTTTTTGCCTATCACCTCCACAAAATATTATGATATCGTCAGCAAACTATAGATGGGTTACCCGAACACTGTTCCTTCCTATCCTCCAACCACTCACTTCCTCTTCCCTATCTGCCTTAGAGATTAATCTACTGAAAACATCTGCAACTAAGGTAAAAAGAAATGGGGAGAGTGGGTCACCTTGTCTAAGGCCTCTACAAGCTGGAAAAAATCTTTGACCACCCCATTAACAAGACTGAGTAATGGTAGGAGCTAATACAGTCCATTACCTAGTTGCACCATCTATCTCCAAAACCACAACACCCAAGGACCTCTAGTAAAAACTCCAATCCACCAGATCATAAGCCTTCTCTAAGTCTAGCTTACATGCAAAACCTTGATTCCCCGACTTTCTCATGTCCTCCACACACTCATTTGCTATTAAGATCTGATCACTTATTTGCCTTCCCTGCACGAAAGCACCTTATGCTTGACTAATGATGGATGGTAGTACTACTCGAATTCTCATAGATAACACTGTAGCCAGGATTTTATAGATGCTTGTCACCAAACTAATCGGCCTATAATCCTTAGGGTCCTTTGCATCTATCTTCTTTGGGATTAGGGCTAAGAAAGTTGCATTAACTCCAATGCTTACCTTTTTTTTTTTATCTGCAAATTCCTGAAACACCCCAACAAGATCTTCTGTAACAACATCCCAACAATCCTGATAAAAAGCCATTGTGAAGCCATCTAGACTAGGTGCTTTGGATCTATCAATTGAAAACACCGCCTGTCTGATCTCTTCTTCAGCAATATCCCTTTCTAACCAGTTTACTTGTTCTTCAGATATCCTATTCCAATCCAAATCTTCCAATGTTGGCCTATTATTCAATGGTTTCCTATAGATTGATTTGAAATGATCCACAAACAATCTTGCTATCTCATCTTGATTTGTTACTTCCTCCCCATTCACCTCTAACTTAGCCACGAAATTTTTTCTTCTCCTCCCATTAGCCAACGCATGGAAAAATTGTGTTCCCATCCCCTTAATCCATTTGTGTTTTGACTTTTGCCTCCAAGAAATTTCCTCTCTCAGAAGGACCTCTTCCAAATCCTTCTTTAAGTTTCTTCTCAAAACCCTTTCTTGCTCACTCATCATCCTTTGGGCTTCTTTGGAATCTAATTCCTCGACCCTAGACAACAAATTATTTTTTTGCTCCTCTATTCTTCCAAATTGTTCCCTGCTCCACTCCTTAATTTTGGATCTCAACCTTTTCAGCTTTTTGTGGAATCTCACTCTCTTCCACTTCACCCCTCTTAAATCTTCTCTCCACTCTCCAATCAAGTGCACAAAATCCGGGTGAGTTAATCACATATTCTCAAATCTAAATGGCCGTGGACCAGAGGCTATTATTTCCGAACTTAACTAGACCAGAGTTCATTCATCCTCTTTCTTCTATTTCAGATCTCTTTCTTTATGTTTTTAGGAAACATTGAGAGGTGATTCAGATGCGGTTGCTTCTCACTATTCCCTCTCTATGATTTCCTCCTTCCTAAGTGATGTGATGGTGAATTGATATGTTTTTTTTCTATTTGTTTAAATACAAATAGGAATTGCGAATATTTGGTGTGATACGTTGTCTGTGTCTCTGCGATACTAGAAAAGAGTGACATGCATGCAGTCCGTGATTAGTGAAAGTGTTGTTTGGTCAGTTCTTTAACCAGTTATATGACCCACCACTGTCAAGAGGTGCTGTTTGTAAGTTCACACTGGTGTTTACATGCTGAAAAATGGCCATTTTTGTGATCATTTAGGAAAGTGGTGAGCGACACATATTAATGCAATAAATTTCTGTTGCTGATAAAAAATGTGGCAAGTGAAAATAGATTCTAAATCCACTGCTATGTTGTCTTCTGGCTTTTTATCCATTCAAACGACTTTGATCAAGTTGAATAGGAGCAACTATGTTGTATGGATGGAATCTATTGAAGTTTTTTCTAACGGACAAGGGAAAAGTTAAATATTTTGACTGATTAAGAAAGCAGAATCTAGTAATTTTATTTATTATGATTGGGTACAAGAGGATGTCCAAATTAAAACATGGTTGTGAAATTCCATGGAACATAAAATCAGCAGCATTTTGATCTTCTTAGTTACTAGTATATGGCATCAAGTGAAGAAAATGTATTTTGAGAGCAATCATATTCCTTGCATATGCCAGTTTACAGTAACTAGCCAATGTTTCTTTTGGAAAGTCGCTTTGGATATAAACATAATAACCTGATGGGGTGCTCTCTTAGGTGTATATATTTTATTTATGTGCAGAAGTAAGCTTTTGGGTATAAATGAAGGGATATTTTTTTGATGAATATAGAAATAAGAATATTTCCTTATTATTTTTATGAGGTTGGTTTCCTAATAATGGTAATGTGCAAAGTTAGAAGCATTGTCTTTTGAGAATGGAGAAGGTCATTTTATTTTCTTCTCTTTGCATGTCTTTAATTCAAAGAAAGACAAAGCCAAAACTTCAATGGACTTATAGACCAATAAATTCATTCAGAAGTATATAAAATATCATGGCTAAGGTTCTTGTGTACTTAGGGGTGCAACTTGGGCAGACCCAACCCGAGTTTTTGCACGGGTCGGGCCTGAGTTTTCAGGCGGTGGGCTGGACCTGGACCAGAAAACTTGGGCCTGACCTAAATGTAGGTTGAGGCCTCGGGTAACCTGAGCCCAACATGTGCCTGGCCCAACCCAACCAAGAACTGACCCAACTTGAGCCCGCTCAAACAGTATACATGTATAAAATATGTATTTTTATATTTATATATGAAATTTGTACATATTATCAATCAATTCTACTCTTAAATTGGGCATAAAGCCCAACAAAAAGATGGCACTATAAAACTATATACATAAATTATTTTAAACCAAAACAACCTGAACCGGAGCTCAGCTTGATTATGTTGGGTTAGGTTGGGACTGGGTTGATAAACTTGGGCTTGACATTGGATTGGGCTAGGCCCGAGCCCAAGGCTTCCACCATTAGAGTTGGGGCTTGGGTTGACCTTCGACCTGGCCCAACCTGCCCAAGTTGACCTCTAAAGGTAATTAATTAGTAGGTAATAATAGTGCATGTGTGTGTTCTTGGTTTGTAGGAACTGTATAAGTTTTCTTTCACTAAAAATATGGTAAACTAAAACCAATATTGTAAGACTCGGACCGAACCGATTTTTTCAGATTTCTGAAAAAACTGGTGGAACCTTTGAAAACCAGCTAGGTTTCAACAACCCAGCCTATTTTCTTGACCTGCCCAAGTCACTAAGGTGGTGTTCAGAACCATCGTCATTTCGTGGATGGCCCGTTTCGGTCCACGCCATGGGATGGCCATGGTGTTCGGTTGGCTGTGGACGGGACTGGTCCACAATTTATCATGGACATCCCCATCCACAGCCCAAAATCTCAGCCACACATATATCTCGTGGATGTGGCCAGTCCACATCTCGGCTACACATATACCTCGACGGGACTGGTCCACAATTTTCTTTCTTTTTAATTTTTAAAATTTAAAATAATAAATTTTTTAATTTTAATTTTTAATATTTTATCAATAAAATAATAATTTTTAATGCTAATTCTAGCACAAGCCCGACGATGCTCCTTCTCCACTCTTTTTTCATTTATTTAAATATTAATTTTTTAATGTTTTATCAATAAAATAATATTTTTATTTTTAATTATTTTACTATCCGTTTTATTAAAATTAATATTTATTGGTTAATATTAATTTATTGATGCCTTTTTTTCAATTTATTTATCATATAAAATGCAAAAATTAGACATTTATGATTGAATGTGTAGATCATTCATAAAACGTATATGAGATACATGGATTCAAAAAGTGTGGTGTGGATTGGTCCACACCCCACCTACAGAACACCATTGTGGGTGTGGATTGGTCCAATCCACATAGTCTGTCCACAGTTCAGAACAACTGTAGACTGTGGTGTGGTGTGGATTGGTCCTTGCCACAGGGTGTGGTGCTCATCCACAATACAGAACACACCCTAAATCACCATAAACTTTAAAATGTGAATAAGAAGATTCAAACTTATGGCTAGGGGTGTTCAACAGTCTGGTACGGTGCGGTTTGGAGAAGATCTTAGACTAAACCAATCAAATACGATCTGTTAATTTCTTAGATCAAACCAAACTGATTTATTATGGTTTGGTGTGGTTTCTAATATGGTATGGGCCATTCTATTGGGCTTAACCCAATTAGAAAGACCAAACAACATATATGCCTACATAAACAATAAATGTAGTCTTTTAGTCACCATAAAATCATTGAATCATCGCATTAGGTATGTTATGTAAGACTCAAATTGGGTTAGAATGATATATTTTTAAGACCCTAAAGTCAATTCCATTAATCATCAAAACAACTTAGTTTGACTGTGACTATTAAGAATTTATAGAGAGAGAGTTAAGAGTTAGAAAGAATGATGGAGTGTCAGAATATACTACTGATCACCATCTAGTCACCACTTACAAACATGTTATATACTACTGGTCACCATATATACTACTGGTCACTTCTCAAGTGATCTTTCCTACAATGTAAGAATACTTATATAAATTTAACAATTTTCTGTAGTGCTTATCAGTCCAATTTTGATCATTTGTTCTTTCGACCATTTTATTGATTTCAATAGCAATGACTTCTACCCTTCCTAAACATTCCAGTTCCTAAGAAAATGTTGACCACATATGATTTATGTCCTAAGACCTAGTGCATAAATATATAAGACCTAATTTAGCAAAAAAATGTCCTCGGACCTACAGATCATATGTCACGTCAAATTCATATTTTACCTTTGATATCCCAAGCCTTCCAATATCAGACAAACAAACTCCCAAAACTTCACTGGCTGAAGATTAGTGATGAAAAAGGCCTACAAAACATATAGAAGATAAGAATACTATATTTAAGAAAGACTTTAAGTAACGCAAGGTGATGTTCAAGTGACTGAACTAAGAATACCTTTCCAGCCACTGATGTCATTGCAGAGTGTAGAGCTTCTACTGCACAGATATGAGCATGGGCTATGTTCTCAACGTATGTGAAATCACACATATTTTCACCACTGCCTATAATAAACTGAAGTAGTAGGCCTCTATTACTTTATAGGAACAACCAAACAAATAACATAAGATCAATCATATCTACAGTGCAAAATACACAATCATGGGATACAAGCTTGTCAAAATCAAATGAAAGATGGAGTTGATAATACTATATCCAAGAATCTGTTCTATGGTTAGTAAAATCACATTCAACAATAAGAGGATTAAAGAAAGGGAATAGGAAAGTTGTAAGGGTGAGCGGCAGAAATGGAAGTTAGGGAGGAAAGGAAAATTCAGAAGACTGAGGTTCGAAGGAGACCTCTAAGGATTGAAGCAAAGCATTTTGTGTTTGATGAAAGTTTTAGGATGAAGGGGAAGAAAGCATTAAAGATCAGAGAAGTCAACATGGTGATGTTGTTTCTGATAGGCTAAGAAGCTATTGGGTGGTTTAAGACCTTCATGGAGGATGCTATTCAGGTGCGAAGGAAGCTTGTAGGCAAAGAATCATTTGATTTTGCTGGTAGGAGGTATGCAGAAAGAAGGGAGAATGTTAAAGGAACATATGTGGTGCTTATGGAGTTTTATGGGGAAGGAAAAAAGCAGATGGTATGCTCCCCCTAAGGAAAGAATGGGACTGGCTGGAAAGAGGTCACAAAATCTTGAAGGACTACATTGCTCAGGAGGAAACTAGAGAAGATAGAAGAGTGGAACTTGTAGAAGAAACACAAGGAGTTACTGGAGACTCTGAAGTGGGAAAGCAGAAGGAAAAGCCCAAAAAAGAAACAGAAATGCAGATTATGGCTAAAGCAGCAAAGGATTGCATAATGGTTTGCAATATGCTCAAGAATGATTGGGAGGAGAAATTTATTGTAAATTTGACAGTACCACTGCAAGATTGGAAGAAGATTGATGAAGAATTGTTGAAAAAGTTGAAGTTAAACTTGTTAGACAGTTGTATGCCCTTAGCTTCAATCAGAATTATGTACATTATGAATTTATTGTAAATGAATAAA